TAAAGATTTCAAGAGATAAGGAAGGATACTACATAATGATCAAGGGATCAATTCAAGAGGAAGGTATAACAATTGTAAATATCTATGCACCCAACATAGAAGAACCTCAATATATTTGACAAACACTAACAGACATAAAAGGAGAAATTGACAGTAACACAACAATACTAGGAGACTTTAACACCCCACTGACACCAATGGACAGATCATCAAAACAGAAAATTAATAAGGAAACACAAGTCTTAAAGGATACATTAGATGAGATGGATCTTACTGATGTCTTCAGGATATTCCATCCAAATGCAGAAGAATATACCTTCTAAAGTGCACATGGAACCTTCTCCAGGATAGACCACATCATGGGTCACAAATCAAACTTCAGTAAATTTAAGAAAATTGAAATCATATCAAGTATCTTCTCTGACCACAACATGCTATGAGACTAGGTATCAATTACAAAAAAAAAGAAAGAAAGAAAAAAAAATGTAAGAAATGCAAACACATGGAGATTAAACAACACGTTTCTAAACAACCAACAGGTTACTGAAGAAATCAAAGGGGAAATCAAAAAAATTTTTAGAAACAAATGACAGTGAAAACACAACAACTCAAAACCTATGGGATGCAGCAAAAGCAGTTCTAAGAGGGAAGTTTATAGAAATACAATCCTACCTCAAGAAACAAGAAAAATATCAAATAGACAACCTAACTTTACACCTAAAGCAACTGGAAAAAGAACAACAACTAAAAAAAATTAGTAGAAAGAAAGAAATCATAAAGATCCGAGCAGAAATAAATGAAAAAGAAATGAAAAAAAACAATAATAAAGATTAATAAAACTAAACGTTGGTTCTTTGAGATGATAAACAAAATTTACAAACCCTTAGCCAGACTCATAAAGAAAAAAACAGAGAAGAATCAAATAAGCAAAATTAGAAATGAAAAAGGAGAGGTTACAATAGACAATGCAGATATACAAAGGATTATGAGACTATTATGAACAATTATATGGCAATAAAATAGATAACCTAGAAATTATGAACAACCCGATTACAAGCACTGAAACTGAAACTGTGATCAAACATCCCCCCTAAAAAACCAAAAGCCCAGGACCAGATGGCTTCACAGGAGAATTCTATCACACATTTAGAGAACTAATGCCTATCCTTCTAAAATGCTTTTAAAAAATTTCAGAGGAAGGAACACTTCCAAATTCATTTTATAAGGTCACCATCACCCTGACACCAAAACCAGACAAAGACAATACAAAAAAGAAGAAGAAAACTATAGGCCAATATCACTGATGAACATAGATGTGAAAATCCTCAACAAAATTTTAGCAAGCAGAATTCAGCAATACATCAAAACGCTCATATATCATGATCAAGTTGAGTTTATTCCAGGGATGCAAGGATTCTTCAATATATGGACATCCATCATTGTGATACACCACATTAACAAACTGAAAGATAAAAACCATATGATAATCTCAATAGAAAAAAGCTTTGACAAAATTCAGCACCCATTTAAGATTAAAACTCTTCAAAAAATAGGCATAGAAGGAACCTACCTCAACATAGTAAAGGCCATAAACATTATTCTCAATGGTGAAAAACCAAAAGCATAGCCTCTAAGATCAGAAACAAGACAAGGGTGCCCACTTTCACCACTATTATTAAACATAGTTCTGGAAGTCTTAGCTACAGCAATCAGAGAAGAAAAAGAAATAAAAGGAATGCAGATTGGAAAAGAAGTAAAGCTCTCACTGTTTACAGATGACATGATACTGTACATAGAAAACCCTGAAGATAGTATCAGAAAATTACTAGAGCTAATCAGTGAATTTAGCAAAGTTGCAGGATACAAAATCCATACACAGAAATTACTTACATTTCTATATACCAACAATGAAAAATCAGAAAGAGAAATTAAGAATCAATCCCATTCACCATTGCAACAAAAAGAATTAAATATCTAGGAAGCAACTTACCTAAGGAGACAAAAGAACTGTACACAGAAAATTATAAGACACTAATGAAAGAAATCAAAGACAACATAAACAGAGGGAGAAATATACCATGTTCCTGGGTAGGAAGAATCAATATTGTGAAAATGACTCTACTACCAAATGCAATCTACAGATTTAATGCAATCCCTATCAAATTACTAATGGTATTTTTCACAGAACTGGAACAAAAAATTTCACAATTCATATGGAAACACAAAAGACCCTGATTAGCCGAAGCAGTATTGAGAAAGAAGAGTGGAGCTGGATGAATCAACCTTCCTGACTTCAGACTATACTACAAAGCTACAGTCATCAAGACAGTATGGTACTGGCGCAAAAACAGAAATACAGACCAATGGAACAAAATAGAGAGCCCAGAAAAAAAAAAAAAAAAAACATGCACCTATGGGTACCTTATTTTTGACAAAAGAGGCAATATACAATGGGGCAAAGAGAGCCTCTTCAATAAATGGTGCTGGGAAAACTGGACAGCTACATGTAAAAGAATGAAATTAGAACACTTCCTAACACCACACACAAAGATAAACTCAAAATGGATTAAAGACCTAAATGTAAGACCAGAAACTATAAAACTCTTAGAGGAAAACATAGGTAGGATACTCGATGACATATATCAAAGCAAGATCCTCTATGACCCACCTCCTAGAGTAATGGAAATAAAAACAAAAGTAAACAAGTGGGACCTGATTAAACTTAAAAGCTTTTGCACAGCAAAGAAAAGTATAAGAAAGGTGAAAAGACAACCCTCAGAGTGGGAGAAAACAATAGCAAATGAAAAAAGCTGACAAAGGGTTAATTTCCAAAATATACAAGTAGCTCATACAACTCATTGCCAGAAAAGCAAACAGCCCAATCAAAAAGTGGGGAAAAGACCTAAACAGACATTTCTCCAAAGAAGACATACAGATGGATAACAAACACATGAAAAGATGCTCAATATTGCTCATTATTAGAGAAGTGCAGATCAAAACTACAATGAGATATCACCTCACCCTAGTCAGAATGGCCCTTATCAAAAAGCCTACAAACACTAAATGTTGGAGAGGGTGTGGAGAAAAAGGAACGCTCTTGCACTTTTGCTGGGAATGTAAATTGATACAGCCATTATGGAAGATGGTATGGAGATTCCTTTAAAAAAAAAAAACTAGGAATAAAACCACCATATGACCCAGAAACCCCACTTCGAGGCATATACCCTGAGGAAACCAAAATTGAAAGAGAAACATGTAGCCCGTTGTTCACTACAGCACTATTTACAAAAGCTAGAACAAGGAAGCAACCTAGATGCCCATCGACAGATGAATGGATAAAGAAGTTCTGATACATATACACAATGTAATATTAGTCATAAAAAGGAATGCATTTGAGTCAGTTCTAATGAGGTGGATGAACCTAGAACATATACAGAGTGAAGTAAGTCAGAAAGAGAAAGATAAATACCATATTCTAATGCATATATATGGAATCTAGAAAACTGGTACTGAAGAATTTATTTACAGGGCAACAATAGAGAAACAGACATAGAGAACAGACTTACAGACATGGGGAGAGGGGAGGAGAGGGTGAGATGTGTGGACAGAGTAACATGGAAACTTACATTACCATATGTAAAATAGATAGCCAACGGGAATTTGCTGTATGGCTCAGGAAACTCAAACAGGGACTCTGTATCAACCTAGAGGGATGGGATGGGGAGGGAGATGGGAGGGAGGTTCAAACGGGAGGGGATAAATGTATAGCTATGGCTGATTTATGTTGAGGTTTGACAGAAAACAGAAAAATTCTGTAAAGCAATTATCCTTCAATAAAAAATAAATTAATTTTTTAAAAAGCTGCAGTCCCAGAAACTGCTCTTCAGATTTCATTTCTTTCTACCTATTTATACTGCCAATGTGAGGTTTTCCTAAAATTTTCACATCTGGAATGCAGAGAAAATAATGTTTACATGTTACTAAGGTTAACAAAAGCAGTTGATTGTGGCCATAGTGTGTACGGCCTAGGTCCTTCAAGAAGTCCCTCCCCGGGGGTGAAGGGAGCAATAATTTGGCACAGATTCTGGTATATTTGTTCAGAAGGTGGGCTAGCATTTCATCAGGTGTTGATAAGCATTGTTGTTTGAATAAATAAATGGAATTTTAGAAAAAAAATCAAGATTAAAAAATACAAATTATAAATGTGGAGGTTAAATAAGAGTTAATGGTATAGGATGTTTGGGAACTAATTTAAAGGTTAACTAATGCAAAGGTCTTGAAACTTGTAGAGTTAATAGTTAAAAAGATATTGTTGTTTTTGATAAGATACCAACAAATGAGAATTACACTAAAATGAGTTGGAAAGATGTTTATTAACTGGAATAGACAAGTTTGCCAGAAAAACACACCATTTCCCCCAAACTAGGAAAATGGAAAGAGGGCTTTAAACCTAGAAATAACAAACATCAACTTCAACCCTGTAAGGTCCTTTTCAACCTTGGATACATCTGGCTTTATGACACAGATCAAATGAAGAAATGGATGGGAAATCCTAGACAACAAAATACAGGCAGTTACCCTCCTTCCTACTCTTCTGCTCCCTCCTGAGGTCCACCAATTAACAGCACTTTAAAACCTCTTCTCAGAAGAGATCATTAAGATACAGCATTTTAATTCCAACTGGTTCATCTTCCTTTGCCTTGACAACCACAAAGAGTCTCACAGATGGCCCTACCTCACAGCTCTGGGGTGAGACAGCTAAAGAAATTGTGCCACCTGCCTCACCCCAATTTCTAAATACAGCAGCCATCCTAAGTAACTGCCTGACCTGTTCCCCAGATAAAAATTTAACCAGATCAAAGCTGGAGAGAGACAGTGTAAAGAGACATGAGGCATTTAATTGCTTTGCAAAGAACAGTATACGAATATAATGATGCTAAGAAGTAGCCACGGTCTCGTCTGCAATACTAGAGCCTCTGATCACAGCAAAGAATACCCACCAGATGTGACATCATGGTCTATTCCTTCCACAGAGATGGTGGCATTGGCAATTGGGTTACCCTGAAGATCTCGGACAAATCCTTTAGCTCCTCGGTGTATCTGTGATGGTCAAGAATAACCAAAAATATTTGTATTAGAAACAAACTAAAAACACGCTTAATATCAAACATCTCCTTATTTTCTAGCAAAATACTGCAGATTCCTATTTTTTAGGAATAAAAACAAGCCCAAAAAGTCACTAAATTTTGTGTACATTCCTTACTCTGCTTTTTCTCAAGTAGACAAATGAGAAGTAACCCCTGGAAAATTGATTTCTTATTCTGAGTCAAATAAGACTTTGAAATACCTTCCAAATCACCAAAACAAACAAGCAAACAAACAAAAACCTGTCAATGTGTAAAACAGTTCTGGTCTGAACGTATGTCATTTCTTTCTATTTTGCTGCTGCTGCTGCTGCTAAGTTGATTCATTCATGTCCAACTCTGTGTGACCCCATAGATGGCAGCCCACCAACCCCCCAACCCCCCCCCACCACCCATCCCTGGGATTCTCCAGGCAAGAACACTGGAGTGGGTTGCCATTTCCTTCTCCAATACATGAAAGTGAAAAGTGAAAGTGAAGTTGCTCAGTTGTGTCCGACTCTTAGTGAGCCATGGATTGCAGCCCACCATGCTCCTCCATCCATGGGATTTTCCAGACAAGAGTACTGGAGTGGGGTGCCATTGGCTTCTCTGGCTTTCTATTCTAAATTTGGTTAATTATGTATACTTTATATGCCAGCTGTCAGTTAACAAGATATCACATTATAGCCCTTCAATACTTGTTCCTTTTAGATAAAAGGATATACATACTATGAATATTTTTGCATTAAACCCACTAATAATATTATTTTGGTTGAAAATCAGTGCATGAAAAGTCAGTGAACTTACTAACTGAAAACTGGGTTTATTCATAAAATAGAAAATTTTATATTGAGAAAAAGCGATTGAATTAAGTTGCTGTCATCAACTAACTACTACAATGAAAACTACAAAAACAACTTTATTTCTAAATGATAATTCAACTATGTCAACATGTATTTGAAGTAAAGGAGGGTCTGAGAAAGTACTGCTTCTGAAATATCAAATGATAATCTATCAATCTTGATAATTTAGCAAAACACCATCCACCCAGCTCCAGTTGCTCCTCACTCATATGACCCCAGAAAATGAATTTTATTTTGCTACTGATGATATTCACATATTTTCCTACAGAAAGTAGGATAAATCTCATGTGTCCCTTTGTCACTAGAGAGTAAATATGGCAGTGGTACAATGTTTTATCAAAGAGATACCCTTTGTATATTAGTAAAAAATTTTTTGAATTTGCTATTTAAAAAAAAAAAAGCAAAACTCTTTAAAAGTAACACATAATTCTTTTCTCTAAAGGCAATTTACTCATGGTAAAAAAGTGATACAGGGACTTTCCAGGTGGTTCAGTGGCTAAGACTGTGCGCTCTCAATGCAGGGGGGCTGGGTTTGATCCCTGGTCAGAGAACTAGATCACACATGCCACAACTAAAAAATCCTGCATGCTGAAGATTGAAGATCCTATGTGCTGAAACTAAGATCCAATGCAGCCAAATAAATAAACATTTTTGTAAAAAGTGGTATGTTTGCAGTAATAATAATAATTTTAATGGCAACCAGGAAAGTAAGAGAGTAAACATGTTTTTAGAACAAAAGGCATTTTTAACCTTTTCCCCAAGACTCACCTATGGACTAGCCACCAAAATTGAATAAGACTGAAATTTAGCTACTGGAAACAAGAGAAGTTAGCTTTCTGAATGAAATTCACATGGTAAAGGTATTAGAAAAATTGTGGAGATAAATTTATTCATCTTGGGGTACTATAATCCTGATATATAAGTTTGAAATTTCCTCACCATTGAAAAAATAAATCAATCACTTCAAAAACATATAATTCACCTACATTGGGTATAAATATATCCATTAATATTCATAACTGTACTTTTTTCTGCCTCTGCAATCCAAGACTTAAATTAGAGTATGTGATTAACAAATAGTTATGTTAGGTAGGAAATAAGGCATGAGCAACAAGCGGTGGCCTAGCCAAAAAGGATGCAAGCTGATCTCTAAACCCCATCCTAGACACACCCAGGAGAGCTCACAGATGTGCTTCAAAAATAACCACAGAGACTTTTTCAACTCTTGCACATGCACCGTAGCACACAGTGAATACAAATTAACCACAGGGGCTTCTCCAAGTAACCTTAGGCAGCTAGGGGCCCATTAAGGACTCATAAATACTCATAATATGTATGGATTTATGGATTCTTACATAGTCATAAATATGTATGTGTTCATATATACATATATCTGACTGTACAAACTGAATTATGGGAAAGACATGCACAACAGAGACCGTTGCTGTGTATCTTGCAACTGCCAACTGGCCTTGAGTGTGTGCCCTTTCCTGAGAGGTGGTGAGTAGAGGCCCTGTTTTACACAGGACAGAACCAAGAGGAAGAGACAGGAAGTATAAAAGGAGAAGCCAAGAGGGATTGTTATGACTCCATTGGGGTTGGCCTACTTCCACGTTTCTTTAGTAAAAGTTCTGCCTGCTTGAGCTATAACTGAGCTGTAACTTGTCTGTTGTTTCAAGCCCTTTACCATCATTCTAAATCTTTGTTACTATGAGACAAGAACCAAGGGTGAGAAATAAACCAACTTGATGGTTAAATAAACAAATGTCTCATATGCCAATTATGGAGCACTATTTTTCTGTTTGAAATTTTCCACTATAGGAATAAATCTCAATGGAAATGTTATGGGATAACAGGACTCTACAGGAATGAAGACTGGAAAACACAGTCACTTTATGGTGTTTGTAAAAGAAATCCCAGAAGTTTATTAATAAATTTCACTCATATCTGGGGAAGTTATTTTACTACACGTGTTCTTCCTATAATTCTCCCTCCCCAGATTCCAGACATTTCAATCAAACAAGGCCAAAAAAAATTAAAAAATCAAATTCTTCATTGTTGCTAGAATTGTTTAATGTCAATAACCCTTAAATCTTCAAATACTTAAGTGTCCCCCAGAGGGATTGCTGAAATGGAGACTCTGGGGTCCTCCCCTTCAAGGAGTGTGATTCAGTGTTGAGACTGAAAACTTATTTTTAACAATAATCTAGATGAGTCAGAGGCAAGTGATCATGAACCATTCTTTGAAAAATCCTTTGGAAATTTTGAGAACTAGACAGTTCCATGGCTATTCCATAGGAGCTGTTCTTAGCAACTATTTATGCTGATTAACTTTACAACTCCAGGTACTAAAAACATCCTTTTAAGACTCTGCAAGAGACTTCTTCTCAACCAATTATTGAATTAGATCTACTAATCACCAATTGAATTTTGCCAAGAAATGCACTGGTCATAGCAGCAAATATCCTCTTCCAAAAAAACTCTACACATGGACATCACCAGATGGCCAACACCAAAATCAGATTGATTATATTCTTTGAAGCAAAAGAAGGAGAAGATCTATACAGTCAGCAAAAACAAGACCAGGAGCTGACTGTGGCTCAGATCATGAACTCCTTATGCCATATTCAGACTTAAATAGGAGAAACTAGGGAAACCACTAGATCAGTTATGACCTAAATCAAATCCCTTACGATTATACAGTAGAAGTGAGAAATAGATTTGAGGGACTAGATCTGATAGACAGAGTGCCTGATGAACTATGGATGGAGATTCATGACATTGTACAGGAGACAAGGATCAAGACCATCCCCAAGAAAAAGAAATGCAAAAAAGCAAAACGGCTGTCTGAGGAGGCCTCAAAAATAGCTGTGAAACAAGGAGAAGTGAAAAGCAAAGGGGAAAAGGAAAGATATACCCATTTTGAATGCAGAGTTCCAAAGAATAGCAAGGAGAAATAAGAAAGCCTTCCTCAGTGATCAGGGCAAAGAAATAGAGGGAAACAATAGAATGGGAAAGACTAGAGATATCTTCAAGAAAATTAGAGATACCAAGGGAATATTTCAGGGAAAGATGGGCTCAAAAAGATACAGAAATGGTATGGACCTAAAAAAAAAATAGAAGATATTAAGAAGAGGTGGCAAGAATACACAGTCAGTTCAGTCGCTCAGTCTTGTCTGACTCTTTGCGACCCAATGAATCACAGCACACCAGGTCTCCCTGTCCATCACAAACTCCCAGAGTTTACTCAAACTTATGCCCATCGGGTCGGTGATGCCATCCAGCCATCTCATCCTCTGTCATCCCCTTCTCCTCCTGTCCCCAATCCCTCCCAGCATCAGGGTCTTTTCCAACGAGTTAACTCTTCACATGAGGTGGCCAAAGTACTGGAGTTTCAGCTTCATCATCAGTCCTGCCAATGAACACCCAGGACTGATCTCCTTTAGGATGGACTGGTTGGATCTCCTTGCAGTCCAAGGGACTCTCAAGAGTCTTCTCCAACACCACAGTTCAAAAGCATCAATTTTTCCGTGCTCAGCTTTCTTCACAGTCTAACTCTCACATCCATACATGACCACTGAAAAAACCATAGCCTTGACCATACGGACCTTTATTGGCAAAGTGATGTCTACGCTTTTTAATATGCTATTTAGGTTGGTTATAACTTTCCTTCCAAGGAGTAAGCGTCTTTTAATTTCATGCCTGCAGTAACCATCTGCAGTGATTTTGGAGCCCCAAAAAATAAAGTCTGACACTGTTTCCACTGTCTCCCCATCTATTTCCCATGAGGTGATGGGACCAGATGCCATGATCTTAGTTTTCTGAATGTTAAGCTTTAAGCCAACTTTTTCACTCTTCTCTTTCACTTTCATCAAGTGGCTTTTTAGTTCCTCTTCACTTTCTGCCATAAGGGTGGTGTCATCTGCATATCTAAGGTTATTGATATTTCTCCCAGCCATCTTGATTCCAGCTTATGTTTCTTCCAGCCCAGCATTTCTCATGATGTACACTACATATAAGTTAAATAAGCAGGGTGACAATATACAGCCTTGACATACTCCTTTTCCTATTTGGAACCAGTCTGTTGTTCCATGCCCAGTTCTAACTGTTGCTT